TCGGAAGAGTTGAGACAATGAATTGAAGAACCAACAAGAGCTGCTCTGTTGTGTCTTCTTCACTTTCGAATTGCAATTTTCACTGCTCTTTCCGCGTTAACACAGCCCATATGCGCCTCTTGATTGACTTCCAAACAGTGAAAGGGTTTTTTTTCTACCAAAATGGCTAAATCTGTCACACAAAAAATAATATCAGAAATAAGTAAAATGTATTCTTGAAACACTATTTAAATTTAACTATTTTGGTTTTGCTGAGGAAAATAAGTGAGAAATAGGGTAAAAAATTATATATTTAATTTATAAAAATAGGTAAAAATAAAAGAAAATTAATATTTTAGAGTTGTTTGATTTGAATGATAGAAAAAAATAAATTATAATAGACAAAAATTATTATTTTAGCCTTCTTAAATTAACTAGGTATAATACATTTTGAATTGATTGAATAATTTAACAATCAATCCAACTGGTAATTTTCATTTGATTGTAATTAATTAAAATCAAAATTCAATCAATAAAACATATAATAATAATAATAATAATAATAATAAATAAATAAATAAAAATAGCCACATGTATATTTGGAATTAAGTCTAATTCAGTTTAATAAAAAAAAATAACATAACCCAATGTATTTGATTATTAAATTTATTATAACTGATTACTTGGGTGAATCAACAACAATTTTCATAACTAAAAAAGAACCCATTTAACTTATAGTTGATTAAAGATATTTCCAACAAAAACCTCTAACCGATTGCAGGTTGTCGTAATCGATTGCATCATAAGGTAAATATGGAGTTGTTTGGGGACAACACTCCAACCTGAATGCAATGGTCTTTATGCAAAAATATGTTTTTCACAATACATTAGAGGATAAGGGTAATAATGTCATGGGTCAGCTTTGGACACTTCTCTCATTAGTTTCTCATCTATTTCCCTTCACATTTGCGAGGAAACAAGATAGATGTGGAACCTACCACTGTTAATTTCACACTTAACAGATTTTATATCAACCAAACTAACAAACTTATTTATTCGCTCATATTTCTCACCTGTCGTCATTGTTTCTTCGATATTTATGTGCAACCAAACATAGTGTAAAAGTAAAACTCAATTACACCACTTTATTTTTATTTTGCAAAAGTCTTGTTATAAAACACAAATTTTTTTAAGGCTGGTATATTTTGTAACATAACTTACTTAGTGTTATTTTTTATGTTAAACAATATTTTTATGAAAATTGAATCGCAAGCTTTACAATACGACTTCCATAAACATGATTTAAGTATACATATTTTCCTTTAAGATCTACTCCAAACACACATTTCATATTATAATAGTTGAGCTTTATATTGTTGGTTGCAGGAGGGCGATGGGCAGACTCAAGGAAGAGAGGTGGAAAGGAGAATGATCAGATCTCAACACTTTTCTTCTCAAATTTTCCCAATGACTTCAAAGAGATTAATATGTGAAAGATTTTTCAAAGATAGGGAAAGGTATGGGGAGTGTGTATTGCAAACAAAAGGGATAATTAGGGAAACATATATGGTTTCATGAGATTTTTTCATGTTCAAAATGTCAGAGTCTTGGAAAAGAACTTAACTCAATTTACATTGGAGATAAAAGGTTATAGAGTTAACATTCCCAAGTACAAGAAGAGAATTCAAAAGGATAGCAAAACCACAAAAGAAGCAAGAGGGTATTATTGTAAAGAAAAAATAAACACTAGAAGTGGGTTGAATAGTATGTATAAAAAATTTACATGTTTTTTGTATTGAAGTAGTAACACTAATCAAATGAAACAAGCATACCTCATATACCTCGCATCCTTTGTATATTGGGCTTTTTTCTCCTTTCCTTTTAGACAAAGTGTAGAATAACCTTGGGTCTTAAATCAACAATGAAGAACTTAGTCCATGGCTAAATCATGCACATCCTTCGTGGGCCACCACTCATTAGAGGAAATTGATAAGGGGTTCCCTTATAACTTAACTCTAGAGCAACCCTCATATGATATTCATCTTTAAGTTCATGGTGTAGTTGATTGATGAGATGAAGGGTTTGAGCGTCCAAATAAGGTGGAGCATAGATGTCCAATGGTCTCAGATCTATTGCAAGGGTGGTTATGGGATGGATGGAAATGGGTTGCTCTTCCAAATAGCACTTCTGGAGTTATTCCTTCATGTTGAAGTAGGGAGAGCACCTGGTAAAATCATACATAAGTGGTTCCTAATACTCCTTATTAGTTATGCATTCTTCCTCCAAACGTTCCATCTCTACAGCTTCCTCAAAGTCAACACTTATATTGTCAACATTGTCATTGAGAGTTACACAAAATGCAAATGCTTCTAGGCCTCTAAGATCTGGTTGCACCAAAGAGGTGTCTTTAGGACAAAATATAAGACTTCTTCAACAGGAGTATTTGGGTTAGCGGGTGTTGTATCTTGGACTAGTGGAGCGACAACATATGGTTCCAACGTCTGAACAATAGACTCATTGGTCTATGTTGGCAAAGACTCTCGTCCTTGTTGAGCTAAAGACCAAAGTTTACGACCAACCCGAATAGATGAGTCTATTGCGGTGGTGAGGTTCTCAATGGAGAGACGTAGAGCTTCCTCAAGCATCTTAGCTTCTTTAGCGACCAAATCATCTTTTTTCCTTTTTTACTCTTTTGCCTCTAGTTCAGATAGAAGCTTGACAGAATTGAAGAGTGTCTGCTCTTTCTTCTTAGTTTGAGGCTTAATGAGTTCTCATGCCAAATATCTCTTATTGGATTGTTGGGGCTTGGACACTTTAGAAGCAAGTTGTGGTGGTGATGGTAGAGATGAGGTAGGTTGTGGGTGAGAAAGACGAAAGGAAAAAGGTTTTTCATCTAAATCAAATGAAGATTCATGAACATGAATGTAAATAGGCTTGGGTACAGAGGTATTTATTTAGATTTTTGGTGGGGGAGGAAGGGCTTGTGTTTAGGTTGGAAGGGAGAGAGGTGTTTGGATAAGTGTTTGAACTTGTGGATGGTTGTAGAGGGTGCATTGGATGGTGGTTGGTTTCTTCAATGGTGTCCTCTCCTCAAGCCTAATCTTCACTATAATAGGGAGGCTTTAGACTTGAGGGAACAAATGGGAAATCCCCATTCATTTTAGAGTGGTTGTGGTGACTTCACCACCCTCCTTACCCTTTTTGATAATCGGAGGTGTCAATGCAAGCCCTCATGATTATTCTGGCAAAGAGCATCCCGTAAGGAATGGATGCCTTCTTGCTTTTTTTATTGATTTCTCTAGCTAACATAAGACTTCTAGTGGTTATAAACCAAATTGGGTAGGTTGATCTACACACCTAGGTAGAGGTGGTAGAGGCAAAAATGATATACATCAGAAACATTGTCCTTGGAGCCAAATCGATGGATGAATGTGTTGAATAACAAGTTGTGTAATAACCTACAAAAAGGCTTCAGGTTTGCTATAGGGAGGTACTTCTTCAGCTTCATCTTATCTATTAGGAGAGGAAAGAGATACAACATGGTATCCACTGTATCATGGCTTCAGGTTTGCTATAGTAGGTTGCCTTACATAAACTTTCTCTTGAATAATACCATTTAAAAATGCATTATTTACATCCATTTGAAATTATTTGATGTGTTTATGAACTGTAAAGGCTAACATGATTTTGATAGCTTCAAGTCTAACAATTGAAGGAAAAGTTTCAATAAAGTATATACCTTCTTGTTGATTATAGTCCTAAGCTACCAATCTAGCTTTATTTCTTACCACTTTGCCTTGTTCATCTAATTTATTTATAAATAAAAAAAACCATCTTATTCCAATGATACTCTAATGTTTTGGCTTTGGAACTAAAGTCCAAACATCAATTTTCTCAAACTAATGAAGTTTTTCTTCCATGGCTAAAATCCAATTGTTGTCATCAATGGCTTCATTTATGTTTTTCATTCAATGTCTAACACTAAAGCATATGACACATGATCTTTGAGGCCAAACCTTGTCTTTACTCCTTTAGTACTATCTCCAAGGATTTGATCTTTTGGATGATAGTTGACAAGCTTCCAATCTCTGTGAGATCTGGTAGCTTCATTTGACTATCTCCTTTGTCTTCTTAGAGTTTATATGCAAATTTGTAAAATCCTCTTCTAGATCTGATAGTTCCCTATCAGTCATTAAAGCATTGTTAAATTTCACGTGGATTGACTCTTTTACTACAAAGGTTATAAAGTTAAAAAATCTATATGCCTTTGAGGTATTTGAACATCCAAGAAAAATTTCTTTATCCACTTTGGATTCAAAATTTCCAAGTTGATCCTTAGTGTTTAGGATGTAACATTCACATCTAAAAGGATGGAAGTAGGATATGTTGAGTTTTCTTTCCCTCCACAATTCATAGGGAGTCTTGTTTAGTAAAAGTCTTATTCATATTTTATTTTGAATGTAGCATGCAATGTTTACTGCTTCTGCCTAGAAGTTTTTGCTCAAGAATTTTTGCAAAGTAAGGTTCTTGTCATTTCTTATATAGTGTGATTCTTTCTTTCAACTACCTCATTTTGTTGGGGTGTTCTCAATGAAGAGAAATTGTGAAAGATACCATACTTTTCAAAAAATATTTTGAAATCAAAATTTTCAAGTTCATCTCCATGCTCCCTTTTAATGGTAGATATACAAAAGCCTTTTTCATTTAATACTCTTTTACAAAATATTTCAAATACCTTGAAAGATTCATGCTTGTAGGCTAGGAAGTATACCCATGTATATCTAGAATAGTCATCAATAATGACAATCTATACTTCTTACCACCTAGACATAACATCTTAGTTGGACCAAACAAATTCATATGTAATAGTTCCCAAGGTTGAGAAGTGGAAACAACCTTTTGGGTTTAAAATGTTTTTTATTTATTTACCTTTCTAACAAGCTTCATAGAAAAGTTGAGTTTTCCAAGAAATTTTAGACAATCCTTTAACCAAACCCTTTTTGTTTAATTTTGAAATATGTTTTAGATTGGCATGCCCAAACTTTTTATGCTAGATTCATCTTTCATTTTCTTTGGAGACAAAACATGTTACGTCTCTCATCTTCTTTTTATATTGGCTCTTATAGATCTGAGTGTCTCCTCCTTGTCTCCTAGAAGACAAGATGAGACTTGGCACTCAATAGGGATGGCAATAAGGCGAGTCGGGTAAGGATTTCATGATACCCGTCCCCGTCCCCGCGAGTCAAACCTATCCACGTCCTCGTACCCGTATCTGCCGGGTATATAATTTTCATCCTCATCCCCGTCCCCGTCGGGTATCGGGTATACCTGTACCCGTACCCGTCAATTTTTTTTTTTGTAAGATAAAATGCAATATTTTAAAATTATTTTTCTATTATATTATAATTATAATTAGATTATTTCTCTATCTCATAATATAATAAATAATCACACATAATAAAATATTAAAATTCTTTAACATAATTAAATCGAAAGTGGGTATTAAATTAAGAATGGGAACGGGGACGGGTGCGGGTACGGGGCGGGTAAGTACATACTCATACCCGTACCCATACATACCCGTACCCGATTTAATATATCGGGTTTTACCCGTATCCGTACCCGTACCTGTACCTGGTCAAACCAGGTATTCCTCGTCAAAGTCGGGACAGGTTCGGGTTTTACCCACGGATACGGGTATATTTGCCATCCCTAGCACTCAATGATTGTCACTTCTAGATCTAAGTGTTCCTACCTTTTCTCTACCTTGTCTAGCTTGCACTACTAGCTTCTCCACCACTATATATAGGTTCCATCACATGTAAAACTCACTTTTGATGATATTTTTTAGTTTCACCGATAATTTACTCTCAAATTCTCTCTCAAAAGTCTAAATTCTCTCTTTGATTCGCTTACAATTCTCTTATTCTTTTCCTAAGAGTGTAGTGAGATTTGAAGTGATTTATCTTTTACCTAGAAGTGGCAACACTTGAAGAGAGTTCTTCACCATTGAAGGTGAGTTCAGAGGTTTCCTCTTCCATTGGAGACTTTGAAGAAGCTTAAAAAGTGTCAAAAAGTTAAAGATCTAGGAAGAAGCTTGAAGGAGAAGCTTCATCAATCAAGCATCTCCTTGAGGTTTCCATTATGATCCCTTTGTTGTCTAAAGGCCATCATTATTTGATTGTTTATACCAATTGGAATATAACTTTCTTGTCTAATCATAAAACCTTCTTGACTTGTCCCGACATGTTGGAAAGGATCTTGCATCACAAATCCCATTTCATATGGACTCACATTGTATCCATATTAAGACAAATAAACATGAGGATTAAGAATAAAGTAGTTCAAAGGAATCTCCATATTAATTGATTGTGTTGTTCTCCAATTTGGGGACATGCCCCATTGGTATTTTCTAGTAACTTGATTCACCACTGGGGGTTGTGTTAAACCCATACTTTGTCCTACTATGTTTTCTATTATTGGGGATTAAGTTACTACCATAACAATTGTAGGATTAACATTTTCACTTACATGAATTTGTTCTACCACATTCCCATCTTCTTGATTTCTATTGCCAACCTTATTATTATTAGCATTTCCATAATTAGATGTAGACAAGATTTTACCACTCCTAAGTCTCATAACATATTTAAGACTAGTTCAATTATGTTTTGACACAAATAAGTCCCATCAAGACATACCAATTTGTTTTCTAAGGATTTCATTAAGTGAATTATTTATATTCGAACTAGCAAATTCAACTCAAATATGCTTGAATAAATAAACACTTTAACAAACTGTGATTTCCAAATATAACTTGACCATTATTATAAAAGTTGATTTGTTTGAATTAATCTTAATAATGACCAATTGATCAATTTAAACATCAATAGAAGAAATCATAGCATCAAAATCAGAAACTATAACTAGATCGAAGAAAAGTAAAAAAGAATATTGCCTAAAAGAAAAGAAAGTGGTACAAAAATATGTACAAACATTTCTCGACATTGGAAGCCATGAGAGTAGGTAGAATGATGTACATAATAAGTTAGTGTGAAGTGTTTTTGACCCTAAATCAAGTTTTAATTTGAGTATTTAAAAGAAAAATATTACAATGACTGACTATTAAACATAGATCATACACGTGTACAATCTTAATAACTCCTAAAAATTGACAACAACACCTCTAACTTCTATTTTTTTTTTTGTAATTGAAAATTTTATTTTTTTTATTACTTTAGATTCTTGAACGTTCCCTTTTTTAGCTTTCTCCAAGTAACCTTCCCTTGATTCTTTTTTCTTCAAGTAGGTAGGAAATTTGCAAATAATATTACACCTAACTCAATATATAACTTTTTTCAGCAATTAGTGTAACTTATACTATTAATGCATCTAAAAGGAAATTAGTAATTAATACATCTTAAAATATGTGCTTACTTTTTATAATTAGTAAAAAAAAAATACTCATTTGTTTCTTATATAAAGGAACAAAGATAATAAAATAAAGTACTACTCTGTTCTTTGACTTTGTGAGGATTTATCAAAGTAGTCATTGAGTTAAAAAATGAAACATTAATTTTCAACTTTTATTTATGTCATTAGTTGGTCACTGCTATCATTAAAAAGTTAACTTTGTTAGTTAACTCATTAGTTAATACATTATTAGTTACATAAAAAATGATTTAGCTTGTCACTAAGGATAAAAATAGGTTAGATCATACCAGATTTTGAATATATAGGTTATGCCTGTTCTACAAAATTAAAATCTAAATTTGACTTATTATCTATTATAAACTTTTTTTTATAGGCTTGAACTGAAATTTTTAAAGTTTTGCCCGACCTATTAACATATTCAAAAATCTATTTATTTTAATAATGTTAATTAACCAATAAACTTAATTTTTAAAAAACCAACAAATTTATTTTTGAAATATAGTTTACTCAATACTATTAAAATTTAAATTTGAAAAGAAATATACGAAAAAATTGAATTATTTTTTATTGAAGGAATAATTGATGTATATAAACCTATAATAAATTTTTTTAAATATTGATAATTTATTTTTATTTTATAAATTTATTTATTTATTTATATTTATAAGAAGCAAGAGAACAAGAAGTAGAAGCCATTGTATCGGATTAGATTAGATTAGAGGAGATTCAGAAGGACAATGTCTCTGCGTCTGCGTCTGCGAGAAGCCTCCAAGCTCAATAATCCTCTTTCTGGCTTCGGCTATTAGGTTGCTTGCATTTTCGAGATTTTATCGACTTAATTTTTATTTTTTTAAAAGGAAGATTAAAGGAAGTTTTCCTCCTTTCTATCCCAACTCCTTCACTCCAACTATTAGTGTATCACCTTAATTTAATTGCTGTATTTTAGTTATATTTTGAGTTTAATTTCGAGAAGTGTAAAAACTTTTACTATTTTACATCATCAAAATCAATAATAAATTACTACTAATATGAATTTTAAAATATTGTTATTTTATAAATTAAATGTCACTTGCTTCAATTATCATTTACATCTCTATTAATTTTTATTATTTTTACTATTATTTTTTCTAAAATTTAGAAGAAAAAATAATGTTATTTAAGTTTTTGCTAAGTTAACCATGTAATAAGTAGGGATGAGAATAGATCATGTCTTAAATAGAGATTCATAGTCTGATCTCTTTAAAGTCTGACATGTTTCATAAAAATGTTAAATTTAAACTTTTATAAAAATCTATTTGTATATAAAAAAAAAAGACTAAACTTAAACTTATAAAAAAGTTTGTTAGGTTTAATAGGTCAACCTATTTATTTATATAATATAATAAAAAATTAATATATATATATATATATATATATTAATTTTTTATTATATTATATAAATAAATAGGTTGACCTATTAAACCTAACAAACTTTTTTATAAGTTTAAGTTTAGTCTTTTTTTTTTATATACAAATAGATTTTTATAAAAGTTTAAATTTAACATTTTTATGAAACATGTCAGACTTTAAAGAGATCAGACTATGAATCTCTATTTAAGACATGATCTATTCTCATCCCTACTTATTACATGGTTAACTTAGCAAAAACTTAAATAACATTATTTTTTCTTCTAAATTTTAGAAAAAATAATAGTAAAAATAATAAAAATTAATAGAGATGTAAATGATAATTGAAGCAAGTGACATTTAATTTATAAAATAACAATATTTTAAAATTCATATTAGTAGTAATTTATTATTGATTTTGATGATGTAAAATAGTAAAAGTTTTTACACTTCTCGAAATTAAACTCAAAATATAACTAAAATACAGCAATTAAATTAAGGTGATACACTAATAGTTGGAGTGAAGGAGTTGGGATAGAAAGGAGGAAAACTTCCTTTAATCTTCCTTTTAAAAAAATAAAAATTAAGTCGATAAAATCTCGAAAATGCAAGCAACCTAATAGCCGAAGCCAGAAAGAGGATTATTGAGCTTGGAGGCTTCTCGCAGACGCAGACGCAGAGACATTGTCCTTCTGAATCTCCTCTAATCTAATCTAATCCGATACAATGGCTTCTACTTCTTGTTCTCTTGCTTCTCAGTTTCTTCCCCTCAGAAAAGTTTCTACAGTCCCTTTTCACTCAACAAATTGCACAAGTTTGGCATTTCCAAGACAGGCGCTGTTGTTTTGTTCAAAATCAACCCGCGTAGCAGCGGCGTCAAACTCAAACAATTCCAAAGCTTCGTCAAAAGAGAAGGAAGTGGAGGTGGAAGTGGAGGAGGAGCTGCCGTGGATTCAGGAAAAGGCTTTGGACCTGGTCGAGTTCACTGGCTCCGTTACTCAAGCCATTCCTGGCCCCAGAGTGGGTCCCACCTCCTTACCTTGGATTCTCGCTGTGCCTCTGGCATATGCTGCCCTCACTTTCGCCATTGCCTTTGTCAAAACCCTCAGGAAATTCACTTCTCCCAAAGCAAAACGCCGGAGACTGGTCTGTCCCTTCTCACTATTCCAGCGAACCCTCTTTTACTTTAATTTGCTCAACTTTCGAGATTTCTTTATTTCCAGGTCAGTAAAAATGCGAATCTATGCAAGTCGATCGATGATTTGTTTCAAAATGGAAGAGATCAAGTTAAGCTTGATACGCTCAAGGAAATTGAGAAAAAGGTGAGGTGCATAGTCCTAATCCTCTCTCACTTTTGGCGTTACTTACATATAATTATTCAGAACATTGGATTAAATCATTGGTTAATTTGCATCATTTTTGTTTGAATTTTTAAATAATCAAGACATTCTCCTTCTTTTTGATTTGTACTTTGCATGTGTTGATCAGGCGTTGCTGCCTTGTTAACTTGACATACATAATTCCTTACAAATTGCAATAGAAACATTGTGTTTTCTCTCGCATATTAATTATGTAAGGTTGAAATGTCTTTGTAATGACTAATGACTGCTTTCACTCCTATTTGTTCTAGCTTTTGATTTGTTTCTGTACCAGTGCCATGCCGTATCATCTGCCTGGAGTCCATGCTTCATCACAGTTGATATTATATTTTAGTTTTTGAAATTAATGCGACCAATGTTCTGTCTGGTTAACCATAAAAGCTGTTTTAATGTGAAAACAAAAATTACAACTGACAATTTATCCTGTTAATATTCTTTAAACTACGTAGACTGACAAATGACATTTTTTGCTTGTGTGACTTTAGAAAAATAAATTATTGATGTCTTGATGTTTCATTTCCTAAGCATGATATATTTCAAGGTGAAATTGCTTCTTTTGTGCAATTGAGCAAATAAACAAACAGTTAAGTTTGTAGTTTTTCCATGTAAAAGATCTAAACATTTATCATGGTCAGGAAATATTTGTCTTACATTTGCTTGCTAGGGAAAAACTCAGAAAAAACAGTTTCTGTTTGGTGGCTTTGATACTTGTGTGCTTGTGCATGTGTCATAAATTTCAAGTAACAACTGTATATTCATATGCAGACAGGTTTTGATTTGGAAGAAATTTTTCGCAAGTATATCCGGTATGCTCTGAATGAGAAAGCATTCAACCCTGACATGGTAGCTGATTTAATTCAGCTAAGGAGAGCTTCTATGTTAAATGATTCACAAGTTGCTGAGATTCTGAATGAAATTTCTCGACGAATTGTGCGAGACAAAGGTAATGTGTTTTTCTGATTGGACTAGATGCTTAGTTGAGCAATCCTATAGTCCAGTGCATGGTTGTATTGTATCTTGTAGCCAAGGTCTAGAAAGAGTAACCCAAGTTCTGACTGATGAACTTTGAAACAAATTATTTTTCTCTCACAAGGAGTTAATATCTGGGTCCATGATGTCTAATTCAATTAGTGTTATATATATATAGGAGGGATCCACTTATTCCCTGGGTAAGTCTAGGTAAACTTACTCTATTTAATAGCTCATATTCTACTTCAAATTTTAATGATCCAACCATTAAATTTAAAAATCTTAATTTATAGATCAAGTTTACAAATTTTTAAAAAATTTGAAAACCATTTGATACTTCTTTATATAAATTTAAATCAATATATAAAATATTTTTATGATTATCCATCAATTTAAATGAATGAAATAAAATATTTTACACCAGTAACTCTTTGTAGAGTTACTTCAATAGCTCATGGTCTACATTATATTTTGACAATTCAATTGGTAGATTAAAAGATTTCTAATGAATAGATGATGTTTACAAATTTTTACAAAATTTGAAAACTATTTGATAGTTGATACTTCATTACATTAATTCAAATAAACATATATTCATAAAATCATATAATTCATATTATACCTTAATTTGAATCTATACAATAGAGAGGTAACTCAGGTAAGCATAAATTGAGAGGAACCTTGTAGAAAGGGTATCAATTTTGATAGTTGGAGAGTTTGTTCAGTAGAGATAGGGCTCTTGAATTCCACTGAGTTGTATCTCATTATTTCCTCTCAGGGAAATTCTTCCAAGACAGTCTCAGCAATAATACATTCTTGCATTCTCTTTCTTCATCCCTATGTAGATGTACCAATACCTTGCAACTTTCTTCAATGTACCTATATTTGTGGTAATTTGTTTTAGTTGCTTTAACATTGTGTCTTACATGATCTTTTCGTATATATCTACTGTCCAGTTTTAGAAGTATGAATCAAACTTCAAATTTGAAATATCTCTTAATGTGAAGTTGCATTGCTTTATTGAGACTTTGAGAGTGCCGTTTCTTGGACAACAGCATACTTGAGGTGTTATATGACCCTTGTTTTCTTCTGAATTGGTTTGTTGTTACTATTAAAGCTATTTGGAAGCTAACATGCTTTTAAATAATAGCAAGTTAGCCACTTGAGAGTCTGAAAGAACAGGTATTGACGATGAGAGAGAAGAGAACTGATCTGTCCCCTTTTAATTTTTATTATCATCCAGTGCATGAAATCATTCTTTTTTACAAATTTAATTAAATTACCTGTTTTAAGTCAGGACTCAGGGCCATATTGTTTCTATTCTCTGACTGTGATTTCATTAAATGGTTTTTAGGCCCTATTGTGATGGATAAATCAGGTTATACTGAAAAGGGTTTCAAGAGAAAAATAGCTGTTCAGGCCCTTTTTGGAAAGGTCTTCTATCTGTCCGAGGTATGTGACTGCAAACAGTCAATTTGATACAAATTCTGTTTGTCTATTTCTGTATGTAAAATAAAATAATAAGCAGTTTTAAATGTCTTTTGTACCATTGGATATGTAACCTTTTCTTTTTGGTTCTTGGATTTCTTAAACAAATATTAGGGATCCATTATACTGAAATTAAGCGCTGCATTATTACAGGAGGAATTTTGTTTGTTTCATTTTTTTAAAAGTGTTGGGGAAATAATCAAATGTTTGCACTTAGAGCATCTTGTTTATAAGCAACCCCTATTGGAGATGCTCTTAGTTTAATTATGGAAAGGAATGGTTTTATTTATAGTTTCAGGAAGAAATCTGATATTTACCTATTGTGTATATGTTAACATCGAAGTATCTGATTGCATACTGCTTTAAAATTTTCTACTATTTTTTTCCCCTCAATTTTTTAATTATGAGAAGGTGAGTCTTGACACAATGGTAAGTTTGTTGGCATGTGACTTTGCTGTCATGTGTTCAAGTCTTGGAAACACCCTGGCGGGAGTAAGGCTGTGTTTGTCCTCCCCAAAACCTCAGTAGGTGGATAGTCTTGTGCACTGGGGCACCCTTTATTTAAAAGCCGTTTAATGACCATTCTTTTAATTGTGTCTGTTACGAGTTTAATGTTTGACTTGATTAAATTTTTCTCTTACTATTCTGTTTCCAGCTTCCAGAGTTTTGCTCAAGAGATAGCTCCTTAGTTGTCAAAGAAATCTTCGGTGTTACAGAGTATGCTCTATTCGCTTGCTTTTATGGTTGTCTCAGTTTATGCTAGTTAGTGATCAAAATAAAAAGTGAAAACCAGTCTCTAGAATTTTACACTGTACCATTTTTTCCTTTGAAGTTTCTTGACAAACTTAATTTCTTTATCTGCATTCTTATGTAAATATAGCTCACATTAAAGGTGTCAGATGCTACGAATGTATAGCAGCATGCTATAAGTCCATTTGAGCAAGTTTTTTTCTTTTTCATGAACTTTGTTGTCAGAATAAAAAAATAGGATTAAAAACACCATTGTACCTGCTAAATAGATCTTTATTATTTGGTTTTCTTTCTCAGTGAAGATGCTGACAAACTCAGAATTCACACTGTCTCTGAAGTTGGAAGTTTAGATGCACTTGAGAAGATGGTTGATAGTTCAGATTCAGAGGATGCTAGCGAGGCATCATCCGAGGCCTCTTAAAACAAATCAATTTCGATGTTTAGATTCGAATAGGTTAAAGAATGACTTGGTGCTACAAATTAATTGTACAACACCATCATCGGCTCCCTCCAAAGATAAAAATTTCAGAGGAAAAAGCAGCCATTTTCATTAATTTTTAGTCTAGGTACATTTTACGGTGCACTTATGTACTTTCAAGATCCTTCATATTTGCTTGATATTTTTCTTATAACTGGCTTATAGGTCAGTCTTAGCGGCATTGCTGTTTAGACTTTGAGAAATAGACTAACAATTATTAAACATACATTTGGGTATAGATGTAGAACCATATATGTTCGTTTAGGATCACACTTTGACACACAAGGAGTTCATTTCATGTCTTGATTTCCGTTTCAAATGGTGTGGTTGGGCTGTGATTTAGCTACCTCTTCGTTGGACATGGAACCCGTCAACGTTCATGTGAGGACCATGAAGATTTGGACGTGGGAGAGAGGATCTAAAGTGTGATTAGTGGTGTTCTTTAATCAGAATTAGAATTTTATTTTAATAATATACATTTATATTAAAGCAGTTCTAAGCAATACTATATTGGAGAACAACAATAATTACATATATGGAACTATAATTAAGTTCTGTCTGGAAATGGGAGTGCATTTAATGTGGCGGGGTTGTTTTTCCTTGGATGGTTATTAGTTATCCCCATTGAAATTGTCTGACTTTTTTTGAACTTTCATCCATGGGTTTCAGCTCATGGAACTGTTTCGCAATTTTGTGCGAATCAAAATGCCGGTGCATTTAATGTGACGGGGCTGTTTTTTCCTTGGATGGTTATCAGTTATCCCCATTGAAATTGTCTTTAACTTTTCGAACCTTCACCCATGGGTTTCAGCCTTCTGTTTCGATCAAATCAAGTTGAAAGTATGGGAGAGAATGAATTAAAAGGTGAAAAAATGTGATATATCAAGTTTTACATTTTCAATTTGGACTTTGTGTACATCACTTTGGTTTTTATCTACATTAGCTACATGATGGTCCAAGATCAATGACACATTCCCACATATGTGGGTATAATGGTTTAGATTAATAAAGACCACTTAAAAGAAATAACATTAAAAATAATTTATATCGACTTTTGGATTAATCTGGACTACATATTTCTTGATTTACTTTGAACTCCTGATCTAGTATATTTAGATTTTTCACTGGTGACAAAGAGGAAGCTGCTTGTGGTTGTGAACTCATGGTAACTTACGATGGCATTGACTATGGGACAGCATGATTGCGGTAGCAACGGGTGCAACAAATAATAGTGTGCGATGATGACGTGCGACATCAATCACAATGAATTGTTGCAGCAGAAGGTGATAACAGAGGAGTACAATGGAATGTGATAGTAGAGTGTTGTGGAGAAACATCAATCACAATGAATTGTTGCAGCAGAAGGTGATAATAGAGGAGCACAATGGAGTGTGATAGTAGTGTTGTGGAGAAGCGTGACGACAAAGTGCAATGTCTGCGCACGACCATGAGGGTGAGCAATGTAGATCTAATCTAAGGTGGAGAAATAATATGGCATAGAGGATGCGCGACAAATGTTGTCATTTTAGGCTATATTGGCTCAACAAACCACACTCATGGTGAGCTTTGTGGGCTTCTAACTTGCTTACATGATTGCTTGGGACAAAGGCTTCTTCAACCTTGTTTGCTACTCTGACTCCATGCATGCAATTCAACTTATTTTCTCATGTCCAACTTGCTATGCATGTCTGTCTCACTGTTATCCTGACTATCTTGATTTGTTAGCTAAAGATTGAGATGTTACTCTCTATACTTATTGAGAAGGAAACAACTGCGTAGACTAACTAGCAAAAGCTAGAGCTACTCAAGACAATGCCATCACAATCTATGATAACTTAAGGGTTCTCTTCTCTTGTATTTAGTTTTTCTTTTCTTTTTTGTTGTTGCCTTAAGTTACTAAAATAAAAAGATGAATAAACGTCAGAAGATAACGAAGTGAAAATATCCCCTTCACTAATTTAGATAAGTAGGAAAGAGAATACAAATAAATAAATAAATAAATTATATGAATATATTTTTATCAATTGAATAAATTAATTTAAAAATTATTATAAAAATGTAATAATTTTTACTTATATAATATGTTTAAATTGTAAGAATTTTAATAATTTTTTTTTAAAATTTTAATATTTTTTATTATAAAATATT